TTTCGTGTACAGGTCTTTGAGTTTGTGTGACGCTAAACATGAATCTTCCAAACCTTCTAGAGTCTTTTTTATTTCAGCCTAATGAATTCTTGTCTTCTTGCTTGTCGTGACCTTTCACGAAATCATGTCCACCGCAATCAGAAATATCATCAGTAATATTAAGCAGCACTGTTACACTGTTGTGTTCACTTCATAGATTGCTGAGAGATACCTTCTCCAGTTCAGGGAAGAGGGGGGTGGGAAGTGACCGAAGCACAAGAAAGCAAACTAACACAAATAACAGTCACTCAGTTGTGAAATATATTATCCAAGTTTAATCAGATTAATACTCATCCAGGTATACTGTTTACGCATAGTGTTCATGTGTCTAGTAAGCTTGAAAGATGTGGGGAGGACAAGTTTGTTTTGTTGAAACTGAAGTTTGAAAGTAAAATTTATATATGTCTAAGGAGCCAATTTGATTTTATTTTACTTCTCCTCATGAAGTGACAATGAATGAAGGGACTAATAGAAACGCCTTCATTTCTTCCGTTGCTCTTCAACCCGCCTACAATAATACGCAAGTATCTATACACTCCCATTACTCCGGTCCTCTCGCATTTTCTTGAAATAAATTCAATAATAGAAGGCTTTTCTGTTTACAAAAGTTGAATTAGAAACAAAACAAAGTTACGAAGAAAAAGATTATTATCATTAAATGGTTATTATTCTCTCAATTTCCAAGTGGAACGCTGGACTTCAATAAATTATCGCCATTTCATTTTGCTTTGTGAAGTCCTTTTAAGCTAATAGAATAGAGAATTACAAATATAATCGGAGAACAATCGCGATCAGTATGAAAAATTACATCTGGATTTTCAACTCCAATGTGAAGTCAGTGCTACTTGCTGTACTGATCAGATACTTGGTGCGTCACGAAGAACACTTCGAACAAACTAGAGACCTTCATCGACAGCTAGCTGTCTTCGCTCAATACTACTCAAGATCAGATGTCCGGCCAGAAAACATCAGCAACAGGGATTTCTGGGAGCGACCCAACCCGGTAGGAACCAATTGTGCGACAAATATGCAGGCGGAAATGGAGGTGGATTGTGGCTATACTCTGAGAAAACAAACCGTCAAGTGAGTGACATCACGCGCCAGGGGCCATTGCTTGAGTGAAACGCGAATGAGAGGTAGTGAGTTGGTCGTTCGTGCGAGGATGACATTGAGGAGGAAGTGATGCGAAGAGGAGATGAAAGCATATGGGGAGACATGCAGTCCGGTGGAAACGTTGGCGGGGAACCGAACGCAATGTCGAGGTGCAGTTGAAGCCCTATGTTCCTCTAGGAACCAAAGGAGACAATAATTATACGAATATGATTGGGTAATATATAAAATAGTTTTTACCAGAGATAGGCATGATCAGGAGGAGCATAGCAATCTGAAGATGAGACAATTTTGAAGGGAAAGAAACATAATATCCGAAGTAAATGAAATCAGACGACAGTGAATCCATGTTAGACGCAAAAGTGGAACGTAGGGCTTCAACAACATATCTCCATTTCGTTCTGCTTTCTGAAGTCCGCTTAAGCTGATTCCATGAGTGACCTTTAAGCTTTAATCTCTACCCCACACCATCTCATCCATAACACTCTCGAAATAATTTGCAACTCTTCAGCTGCACTTCCGGCTGCAAGAGAGAAACTGCTTGGCACGTGATATCACTGAACCATCTTCTCAATTTGTGGCCGATGCATTGCTATTTTGCCCTGTATATTTGTTGGTCAATAGGTGCTGAAAGGATTCGTCACAGGGGTTTCATTTTGCTTATTCTTTTCGACGGACATCTGATCTTTAAAATGGAGCCTGGTGAGCAGATCTTGATGGAAGCATGCAGTAACCCGTTGGAAATGCTTTCAGCAACATGCCAAGTCTTTGAATTGACATTGGTGTTGAAAATCTAAAATCTTGTTCCTTATACACACTGAAGTAAGTTTTGCATCCTGACTTCATATTTATGAAGACTTTGATAGTAATTGGTTTAAAATAGTAATCATTTTATGCTTCATCGTGTTAAAAGATGACTGCAAAGTTTCATTTTTTTTATTTCACCTTATTTTTCCTTCACGTTCCCCAGTGGAACATAGGGCTTCAAGCTTGAAGTTTCTATAGCAGTGGTGTTTATTTTACAGGAGGGGGTTGCTAGCCTCATGCCCAACCTTTCCTCTTTACCAGCATTATTTCTGGCTTAGCGAGGTAAAGGAATGCCTCGTCGGCCGGGGATCGAACTCCGGACCATGTGCATGTTCCGTGAGCGTCCTAACCACTGTGCCATCAACGCATATGTATATTTATGTAGCATAAATTTGTGTTTTTTAAACAAATTTCTCGTAGCTTTAAAAAGGTTTTTGTTACAGCTGACTTAAATTTAGTATTCAACAGACGAAATATGATTCGACAATGCGTCAAGGATAAAATACCGCTTGTGTCCACCTATACGTGCATATAATCATTCACCTGCTCGTGTGTAGCTGATAACATTGGACGTTATAAGCATGTTCTCCGTAAATGCGTAACTGAACACTACCCAGTTTGGTTAATGAAAAGTGAGTGAGTTTAGGACAACGAAGTCTTCGCTTAGTGAACATATTCTGAAGTCAGGTGATTCAGCTTCACGTGATTTATCCTTCAAAGATTTTTTTACAGGACAAAATCCAAACCACTCCAAAAGCTTACATTTTCTCCATTCATGCATACATAACCGAAGCTCTAGCTGTATACATAGACAGAAACATAGGTTATGTGTTCAAAAACGTTTTGTTAAAGCCGCTTCTCTACCTTAGTCATAGTAATGTTCTTTTATTTTACATTCACAGGGCAGTACACTAACTTCAACAGTTGGGTATCTTTAGGGAGAAAGAGAAATCGTATTCACTCCTTATGCTGGAGAATTCGTAAAATCTGCTCTACATAGACAATTGCTAGTGAACTGGATAACCTTCGATCAAATCTCCTTAACAATGGACAGCCTATAAGGTTTATTGAACGTAACATCAAGAAAGAATTTTCCCCGAGACAAATCACAGTTCCAAAGAAAAAACTGTTTATGAGTCTGGCGTTCAAAGGTGACACCATTTCTGAATTGATTAAAAATCGTTTATCTAAATGTATTAAACACACTTTTCCTTCAGCTGACCTGCAACTAGTTTTTACCAGCCAAAACATGATTAGATAGTGGGTCAAGGACAGATTACCGTTTATGTCCACATCTATGTGCATTTACTATTTTACCTGCTCTTGTGGAGCTGATTATATTGGACGTTGTAAGCGTAATCTCCGAAAACGTGTAGCTGAACTCTATCCGGTTCGGTTAATGAAAGGCGAACGTAGAACTACAAAGTCGTCTATTTGCGATCAGCTGTTAGATTCTAGTCATTTAGCCCCACGTGATTCATCCTTCAAAGTTATCTACATGGCAAAATAGAATCGCTCCAAAAGTTTACGTTTTCTTCACTCATGCATAGCTAGCCGAAGCTTTAGCTATACAAGAACAGAAACCTGAATTATGTGTTCAAAAACGTTTCGTCAAACCCCTTTCTTTACCTTGATCACAGTAATGTTCTTTCTAGTTTTTATTTTATTTAATTTTACCACTTGAACTCTTTCCACTTCACTTCACATCTTCATTCTTATCGTAATCGTACCCCTAATTTTTTTTTAATTTTTAGACAACGCTTGACATTTTTCTTTTAAAAATATTTTTGATATCAATCCATTTATAAAGCAATCTTTAATAATTTTGTAATTCATCCACTTCAACTCTACCCCTTCCGCTTTAGTACATCATTTTAATTATCTATTTATTTTTGTCATATGTGCAATATTGACTGAGCAATTTTTAGTGCCATTTAATGCCTTTTTTGGTACTATCGAATTTTTCATTCATACTATCCGGACTTGTTATCAGTAGTGATATTATCTCTTTTCTCAATATTTGCTCCCATCTGTTTCATTTCACACATTCGTTATTTCATTATCCACCTCTCATTGCAGTTTTACTATCTCCTGTTTAACACAGACAACTTTGTACTAGCCATTCACCCCTGACACCTTTTATAACCTTAAGCTGACTTGTCAATTTTCCTACACCACACTCTACAAATCTATTATGACGACTAATCACCACCACTTTCTCCTATTTTACAATATTTTATAATCGATTTCAGCCTAGCACGATTGCCACACAAGTACGACCATTTATTTTGACACTTCGTAACAACTAATCTGTTATTCCACCAATTCCACCAATTGTATACTAATTAAATGACCAGACATCGTCGAAGCATCTGCACAAGAAGCCAACAGACATGTCAACCTGAGACCAAGCACTTCGGTCCAATCAATTGACGGGAAAGTAAAAAAAAATTCAATTCAATAGAATTATTCAGTTTGGTGCAACCATAACAAATTGGCGACGAGTTCATTTCAACTGGTCACACACACATCATATCCAATGACGACAACAGATTAACTTCACCTTTCCAATCCTGGTTTCTGGATCTTCATTCATGGCGCCTGTAGTTTCAAGGATGCTGCTCAAATAAATGGATGAAGTAACTTTCCTTGATTATGATTGGTTATCTTCATCGCTTCTATCTTCTATATGTTCATTTGCAGTTCCGTCTTCGTTTCCATCTAGCTGGTTTCTATCTCTGGCTTTTCCAGGTTTCGTGACATTAAACATAAACCGTCCGAGAAGTTCAAACCTTCTAGAATCTTCTCCTCGGTCCAGCGTATCCCTCATTTCTCTCTCGCTTCCGACACTTACAGTCACCGCATTATTTAGTTCAACAAAATCAAGAATATATGTCACCGGTTTCAGTAGACAGTGGCAACGTCTTACTCCTGTCTTCAAAGATAGGAGACCAACCTTTTTACTCGGGCAGAGAGTGGGGGGAAAATGATGAACGGAAAATCAAAGACAACATGGATACACACAAACACACGTGACAACCTACTTGATTTTTTAATACTTCAGACAGATGCGCAGCAGTTTTCAAATCAGCAGCCAACTTCCCACCAGCCAATGACATCTTCTTGCCATCTTTCTTCGATCGACGTTTTCTCAGGACACAACGTTTACAGAACCAAAGAAGAAACAATAGGCCAAATGTTACACCCAATATTGAAAGACTAACAACACCACCATAGGGTACTTTATGCGGAAAAAAACGAAAACAGAATAAAAGAAGAGAGGAGATAAACAAATAACAGTAAACAAAACAAAAAGGAACAAACAAAACAACGGATGAGTAGATAAAATCAATAAAAGTCAACTGGAAACAAGTAAACAAATGATAATAATAGTAACGGTAATAATAACCTAAATATACAAGTAATCCTTAGAAAATACTTCAATACACTTAGAAACTGAGAACCTTGGTTGTTTATCGACAAATCAATAAATAAATACATATATTTTCTTCATGAGCTTATAGTGGTTAGAGAACCATTGGAAAACCACCTGGGAGTACTGGACAGCTGTTTCGTCCTACTAGTTCGGGACTCTTCAGCAGTACGCACCCACCGGGGTTCAGACCCAGGACCTTCTGGTTACAAGGCAAGGTTTTCCAATGGTTTTCTAACCAATTTCAGCTCATGATGAAATCCTGTAACCAACTGAATCCCTACAAACCAACACTTAAATATATTTTCTGTTCTCTTTGCTTGAATAATGTGGGGGACCTGTTTTATCCAACTTCAGATCCAAATGAAATCCAGAGCTTCGAGCTACGTGAGATTCTGTTCAACAAAACTGAATAAAAATTTGAGGGTTGGTGAGTAGGAACATTGGTTGGAGCTTTTAACCCTATTTGGGGCTCGTCATCTGGTTGTATCTACATTTCTAAGTGAGTGGTGATAGTGGCGTTCCCATTGAGACTCGAACCCAGTACCCATCGTTTCAAGTGACAAAGTATCAGCCAATAGTTCACTTAGGCTACACGAGGCATCACTTGTCCAATAGGCATCTGTTATTATCATAATTTTAAATCCAATTTCAATTTTCTCGTTGACTGATTGAACCAAAAAATAACTTCACACATCGCTGAAGCGTCTGTACTAATGTCTAACATATCAACAGGGGCTAAACCGCCCTTTGGTGCAATCACTCAACTAAGAAATCCAAATCAAGTTGAAAATCAAATTTCAAAAAAATACTAGCTCGCTAGTTTTGTAAGCGGTTCCAAGGCCAAGAAAAGAGGGAGGTTTGCGTGTAGGGCTAGCGTTCTTATCTCGTAAAACTAGTCGAACTGCTAGAGAGACCTAAAATCACAAGAGAGATAATAAAAATATTAAAGAAAAATTCTTTTTTTTCTGGAATTACAGAGACTAAATGATTCATCTGGCTGGTGAAATCTTTGTTAAATTGGTCAGTCAGTCAATGTGTCTTCTTTCTAAGAAGGGGAAACTAAGAGTGGGGATGTGGAGTGCTCATTATGATGTACGAAGGTGGGGTGGGGCTGACCAGGCAGCCAAAGAAGTGCTTGGAAACTGAGAGAGAGGGTGGAATGGATTCTAGAAGAGATCTAAATTTCATAAATGGTTTTATGTTTAATGCCACACACACAAACTCAAATACTTACAGGCGAAAAGCATGAAAAAGGTGGTGAAAGTATGCGAGACAGGATTTCAACTGAACATAGAGAAGATGCACGTGATGGAAATAACCAACAGGGGATCAGCCAGCACAAATCATCAGCAGCAGAAGAAATTTAAAAGAGGTCATTTCCTTCATTTGTCTAGCAAGCATCATTTCGACTACAGATGGCACAGATGGGGATGTCAAGGCCAGAATCGGAAAGGCAATGGAGACCTTATTCACTCTGAAATCGTCTGCTTTCAACATAAACAACACGATTTGGATTTTCAGCATAGATGTTAAGCCAGTCATTTATCCCATATGGCTCTAAAACTCGGTCAACGCTTTGGAAAGCATTTTTAAACAGGTCACTTCAGGCGCTTTCTCTCCATATTGGACATCAAGTGGGTAGCTAGAAACTCTGGCTAGGAACGAACCAACAGGGCGAGAAACTGTTGGCCAACAATTGTCTAAGAGAAAACGGAAGTGGACTGGGCATATTGCTAAGAAGACCATCATTTGATGTCGCGTGCAGGGCCCTCCACTGGAGAAATCCGAGTTGGGCATCACTTCGAGTGTGACGTGAAGGAGGCCGCTCGAAGAGAAGATGAGAGACTATCAGCAATAGTGGGGCCAGATGGAGAGAACCGCAAAGGGCAGGACAAAGCGAATATATGCTGTTGAAGGGGGACAATAATCTATTGATAATGTGAATCGTCGAACTTGTATTTAATTCCAACAAATAATGATGTAAGCTTCAATATATACAGATGGATTGTTGAACGATTATTTGAATTCCATCTGACTTAGTTTTCTTTGAACTGAGGGAATGAGTACACTAATATATGTTTCAAGTTGGATCGAGATTGGCAGTTCAGGCGTTTTGCTTTATGTGAATACTGACATTCAGTGAGGTTCAGATTAATCATTTGGTGAGACAAACCTAGCTTGGTACACTTTATTGCATGAATCACTATCAAACGATTAAAATAATAATAATAATAATAATCTGCTTTATCTCAAAGCAGACAGTACTTATAATACAGAATGGAATTCTCGGCATTTGTCACAATATTTCAAAAGTAACCAGAGAAATTTGTCCACGTTTAAGATATAAAGTCAAAAATATTCGAAGCACGAATTGAGATCATTAAATATAATTATTAATAATAATAATAACAGTGAGTTTGTTTCAAACAGTATGGTTGATCCAGTTTGAAAATTTTAGCATGTTATAGATTATTGCATCTAATGTTCTGTTGATATAGTATAGTGAGGGGGAATACAAAATTGACAGTCATAATACAGCCTAAATTATTTTCACACTTATGAGTAAATAAACAAATAAAAACTAAAAATTGAAAGGATCATGAATATGCGAAACAAAATAACAATAAAGTTTGGTACTGGAAGGGTGAAAAAAATGGTTTATTTACTAGTGCAAAGAAGGTTGGTCAATTAGTTCATGCCTAACACTATTTTCATCACATAAAATACGTGCCAAATATAGTATGTTGAAATTTTTATACTTAGATGTACATGCATAAAGTATTCTGGAAAGACTTCTTGTTTTACCTGAGGAGACACAAGGCTGGAGCTGCGGGTAGAATGGGTGCTCACAGTCTGACGAAATTCCTTCAGTAAATCTGTTGCATGACGCGAAGTGCCTATCAGTGACAATGTTAATGATATGGCACAGTGGTTAGGACTCTCGCCGACCATGCACATGGTCCAGGGCTCGAGCCCATGCCGACGCACACCTGATATCTATGGTTGGCCTGCAAAATTTGGGCTACCGATATCCATGATGAAAATTCCATACTTGTACCAAAAATACGGTGTGGAATCAAGCTGTAATCAAAAAAATAAATAAATAAATAAAATGAGATGCCGGCGCTCGCCCTACTGACAGTCCTCAGAGTTCTACTATGTATGACATAGTCTTTTTTAAGCAATCCAGGAAAGAAAAAGTAACGGTGAAAAGTAAAGAAGAATCGGTAAAATACGCGAGTTGACAAACTGTAATAGGAGGAGAGGTTGAGTTATGCCTGAGTGCCTTAACTTCTTAATGTAGAAAGTCAAACGAAATATTCTTTTAGAAATCGCTAAGACATGGGAAGACCAGGATGGGTCAGAAGAAAGAATTAATCCAAGATACTTAACTTCAGACTTGATTTCTATCTCACTATCACCAATTTTGCAACGGTCATAGGAATTAACAACTTTTTTTAACTTTCGTTTACATCAGAAACTGAAATTAATAGTCTGACATTTGGAAGGACTTAGTTTAAGGGAATTAGACAAAGACCATTTGCAAACTCCTGATAGAAAGCTGATCATCTTAGTGCAGTCTAGCTGGGAGTTATCAGACATTGAAATAATTAGATCATCGGCATACTTAACAAAGTTCATTTCGTTATTAGAGTGAGGTAAGTCATACAAGAAGAAAGAAAACAGAAAAGGAGAAAAGACAGTGCCTTGAGAAAAAGACAGCCATGGTTAATCCCGCGTAGAGCGTATTCCAATTTCTACGCTTCGCGCAAGCAATCTATTGCACAATCCAGTCCATCACAGTCAGGAACACCATTGGTGATAGTAGACATCAGCAGTGTGTTCCTGATGTCTTCACTTCAAAGAAAGAAGAGAACCGTTTTGCCTTAACGTAGAGGATGAAGGACAGCAGGGTCAAAATTTACAAAGGGTGTAAGAAACGTGAAGGTGATTAAACGTACAAAACGAGGTGTTACAATCCTGGTTAGCTCATGTATTATTCATCTATATCTTCTCTTCTTTTCAGAAGGAAAATGTAAGGTTTTACCTGATCATTACTCAACTCACTCCCTATTTTGTTATTTAATACAGAATCTTCTGTGTATTAATGTAACCTATTTCACCGATATGGTCAATCTAGTTAAACTTTGTTTCTGCCCAAAACTTAATCCAACTCTGTATCTAATTTTTACATGAAAATTGGTTTAATTATCGTATAAACTGTCGATCATTTTTTAACCCTTAATAATTTAACATTATTCTAAACCTGTGTTACTTTTGTTTTATTCAAATATTTAGAAAAGAAATTGAGCAAATAATATATCCTTTTCGATAATTTCCTCTTCCGTCCCAACATATACACATATATATGGCATTCAAGTATGAGTTTGTAAGGATTTTCGTTTGATTGGTTACAGGATTTCATCATGAGCTGACATCAGTTAGAAAAATATTGGAAAACCTGGGAGTACTGGACAGCTGTTTCGTCAGCTTAGTTTGGGACTCTTCAGCAGTACGCACCCACCGCCAGGGTTCGAACCCAGGACCTTCTGGTTACAAAGCCAGTGAGCTCATGGACCATTGAGGCACTGGGACCCGATCCACAAGGCTCATGAATTCTAACTTCTGCCAATTCATGACATAGCGCGACCCCTAGCCAATGTCTTCGGCGAGTAGTTGTCTGCACACCCGACCTGAGGCACCCTATGTATATCGTGAATTGGCAGAAGTTAGAATTCATGGGCCATTGGATCGGGTCCCAGTGGCTTAATGGCATGCGAGCTCGCCTTGTAACCAGAAGGTCC